GACGGTAGCTGTAGTGGGGCATAGGAGGTGGATTGAAAAGGCGGGAAGGGATATCGTTAGGATAGACAGACTAGGGAAGACAGTTTTGAGCCACCTTTGGCAAAGTAGAAAGGAACGATTGGCCATCGGTGATCGGTCCTGTGGTAACAATGCTCCGTCCTCTCGAGGACGCGTGGTCAATGGTCTAACCGCTAAGACATGCAAAACATAAGAGTATGCCCCCCCCCCCTCCCAATCACCCCTTCGCAGAATCTGCGCCCGACCCCCCCCATCCGGCTTGCCTGCGTAGGCCGGGTGTACATCTGCTGGGGCCATCGGTGTGCCCAGAGCCTGCGTGGCAACCTCGGCGGAGGCTGACGTAGAGGCTGCCCCTGCCACAGTCATGGTCTTTCGGGCGGGCTCCTCCGCTCCCCACCGTTCCTCCCACCCAGGGCGCTGCGTACGAGCTGCAACAAGCGGGGTATAAAAGGGGCACAGGCACGAGTTGAGACACAATGGGCAGCAAAGCCACGCAGCTTTGTACCAAGTCCACACGCCGGAGATGAAAGCAGGCAGGTCTGGGGTGAAACCGGCAAAAGATGATGGCTTCTTCATCAATTACCACCTCCAGTTGAACACCCCACCCAGCGCATTACAAAATAACCAACAAACACGGGAGGTCGCTACGCGATCAGGCAGTGAAGCAAGGGCCTGACAGCGGAATGCACCTTGTCTTAGTCTGATATGGCTATATTACGCCTATGAATGCACCCCTTGACCACATGTTCCCCGCCCAATCAGAGTACACCTGTGACGGCAAGTTAGCTTGTGACTTTGGGAATCGACCGAGGCAAGTGTTGTGTCAGTGCACGGACAGAGGGTACTGGGTGATCCGAACGGCCTCTAATGTGAAGAGAACCACAATAAGAACAACCTGCCCAATCACCCCTCCCGCAAAATCCGCGCCCGACCGCCCCCCGCCCCCCGCCACCCCTCCGGCTTGCCTGCGTAGGCCGGGTGTACATCTGCTGGGGGCGCCGCCTTCCCCTGCGCCTGCGGGGCAACCTCGGCCGACGCCGACGTCGAAGCTGCTGTCATAGTCTTTCGGGCCGGCTCCTCCGTTCCCCACCGTTCCTCCCACCCAGGGCGCTGTGCGCGAGCTGCACGTATTGAAGAAAAGAAGGACGTTCGTCGCAGGAGGGCGGACGAAAAGCAACAAGGACCGAAAAGAAGGAAGAGGCGAGTGGGGGTCACCTATATCGTCTAGTAGAAGTGTTTTGTGTGAAGGTTGTTATCAGCGGCACATGTCACGAGAAGGAAGAGGCGAGTTTGGGAGATCGTCAATATCGTCTAGTAGAAGTGTTTTGTGCGAAGGTTGTTATCAGCGGGACATGTCACGAGGGCAAGAATGGACATCTCGGGGCGAGCTTGCCGCAGGTGGCGGACGACACGTGAGGGAAGAGGCCCGCCTTCCACAAAGGAGAACGAAGAGGAAAAACGCCACCGTTTCCGGCTCAAGCACAATGGTGCAGCGGAGGTTGCAACCAAGGCACTTCCGGACAGACGAGTCCTCGGAAAAAGACTACCGTAATCGTCGGCGTCATACCCCCCCCCCCCCCCCCCCCCCCCCCCCCCCCCCCCCCCCCCCCCCCC